CCCCCTGTGCCAAGTTTTGTGGTTTTGCGATTTAAGGTTGTGTTGTGATCGTTAGAGGCACGGTGGAATAGGTCGAGTCAAGATTTCTCAGAAGTGCCATGTTTTCACTCGAGTTCACGGACGGACTTGAGTGTTCACGGTCTTACAAGACCGTGAAAAAGCAAACGCGTCCATGAACCAGGCACTTCTGCATGTGAAGCACCTGTCGACCAACCCCAGTTCACGGACGGACTTGAGTGTTCATGGTCTCTAAGACCGTGAACAAACCAACACGTTAGTGAACGCCGTGCTTCGCCTATAAAAAGGGGCGTGAACGGCGACTCTTCACTTCACGACCCAAAACTCGCCCGAAAATTTGAATTCTCGCCGTAAACCCGTGAAAATCCGATGTTATTTCATTTTTTTCACCCATTTCCGGCAAGCAAAACCCAAAACCAACTTCATACCCATTCTCCCCTCATCAAAACCGGCCTGTGCTGCAATTTTGGGGAGATTTGGGGCAAGTTTTTTTCCGGCAAGGTCGCCGGTGGCGAGTCTCTGATGAGCTTCCGACGAAGCTCCGACGACCACTCTCTGATTTGTTTTTCAGCTAGTTTTTGCCTTCCTCGCCCGCACCTCACTTCCTCCTATGTCCTACTTAAGTCTCCAGGTTGGTTTCTCAGCTCTGCCTTGATTAATTTAGGAGAATCGGATTAGGTAGTGAAGCAAGGATAATTTTTAGTGCCTTGAATGTTGAATCTAGAATTAGGGCGAGGAATTATGTGAATTTGGTTGATTGAATGTTGAAATGTTGTTGCATGAGCTTAGTTGAGCCTTGGTGGGCATTTGGTGATTCGAATTGCTTTTATTAGTGATTTTTTCCACCAAGAGCTAGTTATTAAATGGAAATTGGTGGATGTATTTGAATGGTGGTTGGTAACCACCATGGCATGGGTTGGAGTTCGATTCCTTATTGTTGATGAACCGTGCAATATCCGCAACCGTGCTTAATTAATGTTTCCACGTATGGTGCTTGGTTGCTGCTTTGTGCAGGATGGTTAACATGAACCACTCATTCCTTGTGGCGCTAAGGGGCCGCCCTATAATGAAAGAAGAGATACGTTTTCGGGCATCTTCGTGCGTCGGTGACCATTGGAAACTCGACTTCGCACAGTTCGACGGGCTTCACTGCGGTGATTTTATGAGGGAGGCAGTGGTGCACCCACAATGGCGCCAACTCCTTGATCTCGAAGATGACATTTACGGGGAACTGTGCGTCGAATTTTTCAGCACTTTCACCGTCCTCAAGACTAAATGCCTACTCGGCCATCCAATACTCCAGGTCAAGTTCCAGTTGGGAGGGGAATGTCGCATTCTGAGCTACGACGGGTTAGTCGGAGCCCTAGGATTTGAAGCCAAACATGAGGACGATTGGGAGGAAGATGCCATCAAATTTTGCGTCATGAATGCAGCATTTCTGAAGTTTTGCCTTCCGGAGTACCGAAGGACAAAATTTAGCGGCCCTCACAATGGAATCTACACTCCAACCCGAGTGGCGCGTCATCGTTGCACTCCTGGCTCGTTCCCTCTACCCGGCCTACCACACCGCGAACAAGATAACCGAGAGAATCTTATTGGCTTGTTCTTGCATGGTGGACCCGTCTAGCACTCTGCACCTAGGTTCAGTCATAGCCACTTCTTTTGCCAGGGCTAGAGGGGGAAACCGTCGTTATGTCACATTGATGGGTCCCTACATCACCCGCCTTGCTTGCCACTTCAAGGTCAGCCTTGAAGGGTGCACGAGAGAAGGGCGCACCCAGGAGTTCGATGAGGTCACCTTGCACTCCATGCGCTTATTTCTCACCACTAGACCAATTCGGTACATCGAGGGATTGAGTTCTCGTGTAGGGGTTCCACCCCAAGAGTAGCCACCTGCTCGAGCACCCGACCTCCGTCGGCGTCCTGCACTCCAGCGCCCCATACCACCACCACCAGCAACATTAGCACCCAGGCCAGCGGGTGATCCCCTCGTCTAGAGGATGGATCGCCTTGAGACTCAGTTTGGGGGAGTGACTTCCCACCTCGACCGGCAGACGGACCTCCGTGAGAAGATGGCTAGACGCTGGGGTCTCATTCCCGATGGTGCGCCAGGGCCTTCGACCCAGTGAGGTATCCGACGAGGGAGATATGTGGCAGAGCCGATTCCTTTCGCCCCACTACTCCACTTGGAACTCTGAACTCTTTTGTTTTAATTTTTTTTCTTTCGTTATGTGTGTGTGACCATAAACTACTACTACTATCATATTGTGTTGTGTAATAACCTCGCCTTGAGCGAGTCGTATTGTGTTTTTATGTGTGTGTTTTTGTCTTTTCCTTGAAGCTCCAAATCTCCTACCCCGGAAACAATTCCAACTTTCACTCACCAAGCAAAGTGGTAACGTCGTTCTACCCCTATCTTACGCCATTGAGGGCAATGTCGAGTTTAAATGTGGGGGTAGTCTGCTTTTATGCTTGTGTGAGTGTGATTGATGCTTGCGTCCTTGATTTATGCCCAAATTTGAAAATTTTGAGGGCTCTAAGCAATGTTTGCATGATCAAAGTGGCTGGTTTGTAGGAGAATCTTGTGGTTATTGGCAATGACCTTGAATTGTTGCATGTGATCGAGTATGTCCTATGATGATGATTAAGAGGTGCATTAGGATAGTGCAAAGGTTTGGTTCTCATGTGTGCAAAAATGAGTTGATGTTTTGACTCGATTACTTGTTGATTACAATTGCCATGCATGTTGCATTGTGAATTGTAATAGATGGTTGGGTGACTAGGTAGCCATGTGAGCTTTGAGCCAATCGTTTTCTTCTTGTGTGCTTAGATCCCTCTTACCATGGTGAGTAACATCACAGTTGTCACTAGTGAGTATGATGGAGGCATAGGATTAGTCCACGCCCAAATATTGATTGTCCCGAATGAATTATCCACTAGTCAACCCCTTTGAGCCTTGTGACTTTGGGGGTCGTTCTTATGATTAGGAGTGTTTTGCTTGTGAGCTTAATGGTGTTAATAGAATGACCCCCCATCCTTTCTTCGTGTCTATACATTTATCGTCCTTGTGGACCGAGGAAGAGTGCTTAAGGGAAGTTCATGATGGGTGATAGTTTGGAAGGGAGAAGCAAGGTTTTTGGCCGATGCTAGTGGTCGTTGTTTGTGAGGAAGGTTCGTAGTCGAAACCATAGAACTTTCGGTGTTAGGGTTAAGATGTAGGACTTCATAATGTGTTTGCCACCACCCAAAAAGCTTTTTCCTCATGTCCAAGACAATCGCCAGCCATTTGAACCCGTGTCTAAGACCTCCGGACAAGCTAGTGATGACAACCGTTCCGTGAACTCGAGCATTTAGAGGTTACTGCCATGGTGTTGAGATGATAGGGTCGAGAGTTGATAATTGTGCACATTTTTTGCCCCAAAAGGTCCCAAACCCACTGGTCAAGAGAGTGAGTGATCCATTCTTATTTTTCATGTCATATCATACCCCGGTGAGGACCTTTGTTGCCCATCCGTTTGTTCCTTGGACTTGAACTCTATGCACGGTTAGTTGTGGTTGGTAAGTGATCTTGTTGAAACTTGCATTGATTCATGAACAAGGTGAGAACTTTTCATTTGCCCGTTTCTAGTAGCCTCGAATGTCGTTTGTGGTGGATGTCGGCATTGCTTGCAACAGTCCTTTTGTTAATTGCCAATAGCCATTAGAAATTCGCCACTTTTTGCCCTTTTCATTGTCCCCAAAGCATTTTGATAGTTTGAGTTTTTACCTTGTGTGAAATGGTTTGCTTGGGGACATGCAAACGTCTAAGTGTGGGGGAGTGATTCGGGTCTCATTGCACACATTTTATCCCCGTTTCCCTTGGGCGTTTGTATCATTTGGACTCCCAAAAGGGTGGTTTTACGCTAGATTTTGTGCATTTTAGTGTGTTTCAGGATCCAACAGGTGAAACCCGACCCGGAGTCGAAAGTTGGACGAAAAGAGGCGAAGACCGAGCAAAGAGGGTGATCTAGGGGCAGTTCACGGTTTATCATGGGAGTTCACGGTCCACTATGACCGTGAACTGCGATGCGTCTAGGGAGAATTCTCAGTTACTACCGCGAAACGAGTTCACGGTCAACAAGACCATGAAGATTGAGTTCAAACCGTGAACTCCTGATGGCGAAGCGGAGCGTTTCGACATCGCGCTCTGTGTTCACGGACGTGTTGAAGAGTTCACGGTCGTGAACTAAGCCCGTGAACTGAGTCTGATCCTGGTATATAATGTGAGCTGAAAGGAAGAGAGAAAGGGAGAGCCCAAAAGTGTGAGAAAGTGTCTTCTTCAGATTTTAGAGAGAGAAAGGATGAACCAAGGAAGAAAGAAGGCTAGGATTTGTTCTAAGTGGTGGATTGGGAAGATTCTCCCTAAGAGAAGATCAACAAAACTCAAAGGAGATTGGAGGCATTACCATGATGGTTTCTACCTCTTCCTCTTGTGTTATGCCCCTTCATAGCATGGAGTAGTACTCTTTTTCACTTGGGTGTTGTGAAACCCTAACTATTTGCCATGTAGTTGTAAGGTGAATTGAATGATGTTGTTTAATTCAATGATTGAGGTATTTTCATATTGATTATGCATGTTTGTGCTTAGCAGCTTGGGTTTAAAAGTCAAAGCCCATGAGACCCAGTTTAAATAACATTAATTGTTATAATTAATCTGGTCATATAAGAGCATTAATATATCATCAATGTGGTATAAGACTAATACTAACATGGCCCATTAAACTCAAGTCACTCAAATGTGTTTGAAGAGTAAGGATAACGAGCGCGGAGCCCGCCAAGCGGGCAAGTGCTTAGTAGGCCAAGAGCCCAGTGAACCGGGCGGGGCACTCGACGAAAGGGGGGCACACTGAGCAAGTACGAGAAATTTGCCCCGCTTTATTAAAAGCAAAGACCACTACGGGAGGTAAAACCAAGGACCTATGGAAGTCGGGGCTCGTCCCCGGTCAATATTGGATCAAACAATAGGGGAAAAGATCATACAGTTCCCTACCGAGACAACAGAAAGTCTCAACGGATCCTCCGCGCGCTGGGCATATCTCTTCCGTGCGTCTTTCTCGTGGCGGAAACAGAACAACAGGGAAAGACCCGGCCGACCTGCCCAGGGCTCGAGGGCGATCTTTATTTAAAAGAGAATGGGGAGTGAATAGAAAGGCTTCCGTTTCCGTTCTTGGTTTGGGGGCTTTCTTTCGGGCTCCTCCCGATCTTATTCGTAGTTGGGAAGGAGGAAGGAGTCTAAATCAATGGACATTAATGAACCATCATTGATGGACGTTGCACATGACACGATCAATTCGACTCAAGATCCTTCGCTAATAGAGGTTGCTTACTCTCCCTAGTAGCGAAGGAAAAGGGCAGGGCTTTTTTCGTAGTAATAGTGGGCGGGTCTCATGAGATCTATGCCGGCCGTCGGAATCAAATGAAGGTCGAAGGACCATTCGATTCATTAAGGGACATAGCGGCGCCCTCGCCTGGCGCCATTCCCGAACCTAGCAGCAGACGGGCCTGAATTCAGATCAGACCAGACTCTTCTTTCTTTGAGCTGCTCCCACGCACGCAGACCAGAAGAGAAGATCTTAGTTGTCCTGGGCTGGACAGACAAGTATGTAGAGATCCTCGTGGGGCCGGGGAGGGAATCTGAATCGATCTTTTCTAGGATTCCTTATTACGCCACGCGCGGAGATCTTTCCATTGATAGATAAGAAGTCTCCCCCCTTGAACAGACTCTTAAAGGTTAGGTTACTACCTGCCTCTACGGAAGAGGTGTGTGTACTTTGTACCGCCCAGAGGTCATATAGATCGAAACCCGGAGCGATAAGAACGAAAGGGTTGGTGTGGCCACAGCTAGAACTACTGGCGCTTCAAAAGGCTTAAGGCGCTACTGAAAGCCTTTTTTAGGTCGTGCGGGGGCTTCCTATCCTCTCCAACTCAGTCGAGTGACTTCGTTCCTCGAAAGCCTTTGGTACTTCGGTAGGGCCGGACGGCTTTGTTTGCCCCAGCTTGGCGAATCGCATCCCCGCGCAACGACATTCTTTGTGCGCCCCTTACCGTTCTCGCTCAGTGTTTGCAACGGCGGGGGAGGCAGTCGTAGAAGCGAAGCCTATTGCCGCGCCGACCATCAAATACGAAATTGGGCCCCTTCTCAAAGATTTGATGGAATGGTCCAGCCCACCCAAGAGCGCTTATGTCATATGGGAACTCATGGCTGGAAACAATCCTTATGGTTTTTGATATCCGGTAGGAATAATAAGAATAAAAGTCCAGGTTGGTTGGTGAGCCTAGTGATAGGAGACTATCTAGCTTGGTTCGGAGAGCACTTGTTGGGTGAAATATTTTTTTGTTGCTAAATGTTACGGCCTAAATGCTGAACTATTGACCCTACTTGTTCGGATGGGTGTTTACCCCAAAGTGTTCCCGGACCGCATGCATACATCCGTAAGTAACTTAGTGCAACATGGCAAATTTAATTGAGAGGAATCAGAAAAGAAAAGAAAAACGGGTCAATTAATGTGTATTTGAGCTCTATGCACGTGGAATACTCCTTTCCCTTTCTTCTAAATAGGCCCGTCACAGTGTGTCAAATTATTTTTCCTTCTTTAGTTTTCTCAGAAAAAAAGGGGAGCTATTTGGCTTGATCAGAGGAGCGTGTGAAAGGCTTGCGGATCTCCCTCCTTCTTTTTTTTTAAGGCAAGATAGCGCTCTTCTCCCGAAGTGGATAGCGGGGAAAACAGCTGTAAAAGGTTCCTTCCCTCTCAAATGCTTCTCTCTGGCTTTCTTTCCCTCCCCTTCTTCCTCTGTTTCTGGATATTCCTCATCACCGTCCTCAAGATTCTCCTCCTCCTCTACGAGATCACCCCACGGGTTGGGTGGGTATGGAACCACCGCGTTGATGCCATAGATTAAACCATGCCTCATCATACTTTCTTTCAGCCTATGTGCCTCGTGGAGAACTTCCTGAACCTTGGAATTACATGTACTTTAAGCTCACCAATAACCTCTGGTCGAAGCATCCCATAGAGATTCTGATACAACCTCTCTAAGTCTTGCAAAAAGAAATAACCATCAGTGCTCATCCAGAGGGTAACATCTGTGACCATTGTCCACTGCCTGCCCATGTATATATCCTGTAATTATGATGTCTGATCGATTCTCGTCGTAGGGCACGGGCCAGCTCAACGACCTGGGCTTGAGCCGTCTGTAACAATGCTGCACATTTCTGATGATCTACTTGTTCGGCTTGCCACCGTTGTCTGAGTTCGTCTATCGTGGCATTGCTTTCCCCCATCCGTGCACTAAGCCTCTCAATTGTCTGTAGGGAATAGGCTTTGCGATACCATATTCTTCATCATCTGTCTCCTGTCCTTTGCTTTATCCCTCCAATAGTTCAGCTCATCCCGCATCTTCGAGGTTCCCTCTTCATACCTCGTCAATGCTGCTCGGGCCATTTCAGCATTCTTGCTTTCTCTTTCCAGGTCAGTGTGCAAAACATCAACAATTCGACCCCATGTCTTCTTCTCTTCTTTTATCTTTTAGAGCTTCAACTTCAACCTTCCCTAAAGTGAAGGAAAGAATCTGAGGGGAAGAGCCCCTAGCTGTAGTAGTAGCGGTTAGTCTTTTCTTTTTGCTGTTACAGAAGCAATAGGCTTAGATGGGCGTGATAGCTTGAAGAAGGAGTACCGGGCTCAAGGCCCTTCTTATTTTACTTTGACTCTGCTGGAACTGGCTTCTGTTTTGGATGGCGTTTCTCTATGGAATCTTGTTCTTACAGCCTTCCTAAAGAGCTATGCGACGTCACAGATCAAGCTTTCCGAGTTGTTTATTTCCAAAACGAAAGATCCTACCTTTTTTTTTCTTCGACTCTGTATCTAGATCTTTAGAGGGTGGTAGCCCTATATCTTTAGCTTCCACTTTCCCATCAGATGCTTTTCTAGCTTCTCGGAAGGGGTCTGGATCCTGTTGCCAAAGCTCATAATTCCGGGTTTCGTGTATCAATGCTTCTAGATTAGTGTTAAGGGTGGTCGAAGATCAGGCTTGACTGACCGACTTCATTGACGGCGCATTTCGTTCTGGGTGGTGTGGAAAAAGAGGAGTATTAGCAGAAGTAAAGAAGGGAAAACCCATAGATTGAAGAGAGGTGCCATCAAGGTTGTAAATTTCGGAGATAAAGTCAGCGTTTAATAAAGATGCAGGGGGTTGAATCGCAACAGAATTGTCAGTAAAGGCTCTCTCCCCCTCGGCAAGTAGAGTGACTTCAGCCCAGCTAACTTCCTAAGAATTTCGTAGTCGGCGATTGTGAAAAAGATAAGTCTTTAATAAAGAGCCTCAAAGGTTTTTTCTTTAAACTTCCTTTTTACTGGAGCGGTCTTCATCTGGTGCATATTCATTAGTTGGGAGGGAGCTTTCCCCCATAGACAGATCCCCTTGGCGTCACAGGTTTATAGGCCGATCTTCTTACTTCTCTTCGCATCTCGAAAGACGCAAAAGATCTGTTATTAGCTTATTCAAGCATAAGAAGGTCCTTAAAAGCCTGTCTTTTTGGCCTACTTGCCTTTTTCCTTACAGCCTATGTAGCTAGAGAATAGAAGAAGGGGGCATTCTCGCAGCTACTTCTTGCAAACAGCCGTATTTGTCCTCTCTATAATTGGAAGCATTTGAAGCTTCTTCTATCTTAGAACTTGGGCATTTTTCGATGAGTAGGTCCGGAAGGAGACTGAAGACATCCCTATGTGGTTAACATTTCCCTGAGGTGCTTAGCCTTTATGGCAAGTAATCCATCCCGCCATTCTTTATTGCGCACTTCGGTGTGAATAAGAATCAGAGCAATCTCTAGTTTTAGAGTCTCGGCATCAATCCCAATCCTTTAGGGAAAGCCTTCAAGCTCAACCCCAAAAGCCTCTACTCCCCAAAAAAGACGTGGAACTGAGTTCCACTAACAGCTTCTTGCTAACAAAGCTGTCCAATTAAATGAATGTGTTTACGTCCTCTCTTCTTAGTCTACGATTATTATCCCTGCTCTTCCTCAGGTGTGTATATCTTTACCAGGTCTCAAGTAGAGCCGAAATGTGTGATTGGAAAAAGAATTCCCTACATCTCCAAGGTTTATTATGAGCCCGTAGGGCGAAGGAACGAAGTAGCTCGACCGATAGGGAGAGGAACGAAGGAACGAGCGGAATTCGGGTTGCATCCAAAAAGACCGGGAAAAAAAGTTTTTCGACGATTCTTTTTGCCATCGCCCGAGCGGAATTCGGGTTGCATCCAAAAATCCGGAGAAACTCCATTCTCGCATTCTAGCTAGACTAAATCAGGAAAGAAAAATGCCTGCCCTCAGCATGGGTCAGTCCGCCTATCGATCACGAGGGTCTGAGGGTTACGGGAAGTCCTATCCAGCACCTGGATTAAAGCGAGAAGAAGAAAGTCAAAACTTAAACCTACCGAACCAGTCCAGTGCATTTGAAGAATATTCAATTTAGACCGGATAGGAATAGGACTCTTTAGGCAGAGTGGCTTTCTTGGAGGCCTGTCTTCTTCTCAACTCTAAACTTATTTATTTAAAATAAATTATCTGCCCTACTGTCTGTGGTAAGTCAGTCTGTTTTCCCTGTGAATCCAGCTTTCGATCGCTTACTGTACTCTCTGTTTTGTCTCGCCTTGAGCTTGGGCCAGGTATTAATTCTTTTATGGCTTTCGCCCGTTAAGGACTTAAACAATCGAAAAGGGATGAAATAGCATCGGAGTCGAAAACAGCGCATATTCCAAAAAAACCATCAACTGCGGGTAGGCTTCAAGCTCCTACTCATATAACTCTTTGTACAAATTCGAAGCACAGATAAGACGCTCTTTTCATTCTTTGTATTCGGGTAAAAAAGCAGACCAGGACTGAGCTCCAGTTGTCTTACCGTCTTCAAGACCCAGCTAAAGAGAGAGTCCCCAGGGAAGATGGCTTTACTTGTAGTTCGTCACTTTCTTTAAGGCAAGGACAAGAGCTTCGGTGTAAGCACCAGTTCGAACTCTGACTTAGAATCAGACCTTAGATCTCTCTCTCAATAATTGGTATTGAAGTTTGATCCAATCAACCACTCACAGCTGACCTCAAACAAAATCTTCCAACCACGAGACGCTTATGACCTCCCCCTCTATGCCTTGCGGTAATGATTCCTCTGGCATTACGGCCTTTACCACAACGATGCTGTCCATAGATCAAATTATTTCGTGTATTGGATTTCACTTGACTGTCTACGGCTCCATTGCGTGTGCTCGGGGTAGAAGTTTTGTATAAATGTATCGCCATGCTATTAAGTATTTTTATTCAAATTATTTTCTTTCTAAGAGGTGGAATAGAATAACCCGGTTGAAGCGTAATGATCATACGTCTTTAATGCATTGTATGTCCCATAATAGGTCTCATTCTTCTACCCTTTCCCGGGAGTCTATTACTATTAATAGCAATGAACTTGACACCAAAGAAGAGTTCGACCCAATGCTTTATTTCTGTCCTAGTTGATCCCGATTCGACATTAGAAGTATATTGATTTATCCCCAATAACCGAATACTTTTGTCTGTACATACTGCATATTTTATTCCATCCATAATTTTTTTTTCTTCCCTATGAGTTATAGTCTCAATAAGAATGCTAGTTCTTACTGTTCATATGTTATGATATGAATATATCATACCAATTCGTTATGTATGAATGATGAGATTCCATTGATACAGAGCCAATTCCAATAGACTTATTGGAGGGTCCCATTGGCGTGCATCCAGTAGGAATTGAACCTACGAATTCGCCAATTATGAGTTGGGCGCTTTAACCATTCTGCCATGGATGCTTAGCAGGGATCCTCGTACATGGTGAATAACCAAATTCCAATTGAAATGAAATCTTTAGGATAAATCAATGCAATTTAGGAGGAATCAATGAAAATCCTGGATTTTAGAATTGAGAGAGATCCAGAATTCTCACTATTTCTTAGATTCATGGACCCAATTCAATTTAGTGGGATCTTTCATTCACATTTTTTTCCATCAAGAACGTTTTATAAAACTCTTGGACTCCCGAATTTGGAGTATCCTACTTTCCCGCAATTCACAGGGTTCAACAAGCAATCGATATTTCACGATCAAGGGTGTAGTACTTTTTGTAGTAGTGGTCCTTATATATCGTATTAACAATCAATCGAAAGATAAAATCTCTATTTGACAGGGCTTCTTCCTATACCTATGAATTCCATTGGACCCAGAAATGATACATTGGAAGAATCCTTTGTGTGTTCCAATATCAATAGGTTGATTGTATCGCTCCTGTATCTTCCAAAAGGAAAAAGATCTCTGAGAGCTCTTTCTTGGATCCGAAAGAGAGTACTTGGGTTCTCCCAAGAACTCAAAAGTGTATCATGTCTGAATCTAACTGGGGTTCGCGGTGGTGGAGGAACTGGATCGGAAAAAAGAGGGATTCTAGTTGTAAGATATCTAATGAAACCGTCGCTGGAATTGAGATCTCATTCAAAGAGAAAGATATAAAATATCTGGAGTTTTTTATATTATATGGATGATCCGATCTGCAAGGACCATGATTGGGAATTGTTTTCTCGTCTTTCTCCGAGGAAGGGGCGAAACATAATCAACTTGAATTCGGGACAGCTATTAGAAATCTTAGTGAAAGACTGGATTTCTTATCTCATGTTTGCTTTTCGTGAAAAAATACCAATTGAAGTGGAGGGTTTCTTCAACCAAGAAGGAGCTGAGTCAACTATTCAATCAAATGATATTGACCATGTTTCCCATCTCTTCTCGAGAAAGAAGTGGGCTATTTCTTTGCAAAATTGTGCTCAATTTCATATGTGGCAATTCCGCCAAGATCTCTTCCTTAGTTGGGGTAATAATCCGCACGAATCGGATTTTTTGAGGAACATACCGAGAGAGGATTTTATTTGGTTAGACAATGTGTGGTTGGTAAACAAAGATCGGTTTTTTAGCAAGGCACGGAATACATCGTAAAATATTCAATATGATTCCACAAGATCTAGTTTCGTTCAAGGAAAGGATTGACGCCAATTGAAGGGATCTTCTGATCAATCCAGAGATCATTTCGATTCCATTAGTAATGAGGATTCGGGATATCACACATTGATCAATCAAAGAGAGATTAAACAACTAAAACGAAAAAAGAAAGATCGATTCTTTGCGACCCTTCCTTTTCTCTTTCTCTTTTTCTTTCTCATTCCCAAAGCATCTTTGCCCACTTACCGGCCTAACCCACTACCCCACCTTACTTTTTTGTCTCAGAGGATACTGTTTACAACTCTAAAACCACTACGTTACCAGAGGGATAAGACGAAAGCACAGCCATACGGGGAGGTTCTTATGGAAAGTGAATAAATAAATAAAGTACTGTTCTTGAAGTCTCAGAGCTGAGCAGTAGTATCGGAGCTAGCTTTAGAAAAGTAAGGAGTGGCGGGATGCTAAAGAGCTGATACAGCTAAATAAAAGGGGTTTATACCCTGCTGCTACCTTAGAATGATAAATTAATACTCTTAAAGTTGGCTTTATTTCCTGCACCCGTGGCCCTCTCCTTCTTGTTCTAATTAAAATGCGAGCAACTTCATTCCTCTTCCTTTCAGTCGAGCTCTTTCACCCCTCTCTTTTCAGTCGAGCTGATCAAGATTTCTACGGAAGGTCAAGGGTGAATTGGGACCTCCGACTGCTAAACCAGTCGTATAAGTGGGTTGAAAGAGCTATTGTGTTTAGGCCGGAGCTCAAGAATTGGCAATCGGCAGTCAGAGACGGGCTATTGGAAGCCGGTGTTGATCCCATTAATTATAGGGTTTAGTTTAGATCATTCAGTGGGTACCAAGATTGGTGGTTCGACATTCGGGAGTTCTGGTCGTAGACACAGTGCTGCTGATCTCCTCAGCTATGCGAAAGCTTTGAATATTCGAGTGGCTGTCTATGCAAGTGTTGAAAGAATTCTTTTAGCCTCTTCTTCGCCTTATTCTGGATCGAAGCAATCGGCAATTGGACTTCTTTTTCGTGACCAAACAGGTCGATACCACCATGCAATGGTGCATGGAAAGGGAGAGAAAAATGAAATAGCTAAAGAAAAGAAAGAAAAAGAGTTGGTATGCCCTACATCTCCAAGGAACGAAGTAGTGAGCCTAAAAGGAAAGGTTAGAAGTCTCGAACGAAGTGAGCAGGAGCGAAAGGACACAGAAAGAGGAAAGGCGCAACCGCTCAGACAGCCAGAGAATCAATCATGAAAAAAACGGCACACGAGCTCCTAACAGCAGCCATAGCTCGAGCAAGAAGGAAGTCTTTATTTTTATCATAGAATTCCATTCCATTTTTGCTTTCAGCAAGTAGGCGACGCGAATCTATGCTTTCTATGTTGAAATCGGGCTTGGATGCGTTTGAAAGCCTCGAGATGACTTGCAGAAAGAATTCATTGACGGTTTGTCTTCTGTCTCCGAAACAAATGGTCCATTTATTGATGGGCGAACGACGGGGATTGAACTTCAAGCGGTAGGGATCGAAGCGAAGTCTGTTGCTCTTTGTTCCCTTCCTGGGAGTCAACTCCTCGCTAGTTTGTCCAGAAATCTCTATGGTATGGTCATTTTCCAAAAGTAATAGTAGAAAACCGCTTTCAAGCCACCCAGCAGCAGCCCTCTGTTATCTGCCACATTTCCCGTACATACTTTCTTTCCTCTACTTGCTCTATAGAAAGCAAGGGAAACCCCTCCCAGAGAGACGAGTTCACACCGACCGCTATTCTGTTCTTTCGCCCTTCTTCAACAAAATCGGATCTAGAACTGTCGCCTTCCTATTGTATTGAATAGCGAGATAGAGTCAAAGTAAAGCATTCCAATTGGTTGGCTTCTAGAGACAGAGTTACCATTGAGAGTTGCCTACCCCCTGACTCTGGTCCTTCCGCTCCTCCGGGATCAGGGCATGCTTTCTTCTCAGTCGTGAAAGACGCCTTATTTCGGGGCAGGACATCTAATTCCATGCCACTTTCTTCCGCTCGGCGACAATGCAGGAGACATCAGACTTGATTTATCTTCTTTAGACCACTGAAAGAACTGAAAGAGGTGGCCGGGCTGTCTATGACGTACTAGGACTTGTAGAGTAGAGGCACTACTGGGCGGGGCTTCCTCGATCACAGCTTCTCGCTTAGCTAACTGTCACTCAATCAAAGACAGAATGCTCATAGCAGCTGTCGAGCAAAGACTGAATGAGTAAGCATCTGTCGATATGTGTAAGATTCGGATGATAGTTCTAAGAGGGCACAAGTGATCGAATCACGATGTATTAACGTAAGATATTTGTCGTTGATGGTGCTTTATGCTGGGCTTTCGAAGGTCCAAGTATTCCCACCAGATCATAAAAAAACTAGAGAACGATGAATCAATATCAGACCTATTTCTTTCAAATTCTTCTTTCCTTTCTTAGGTATCTCCCTTAGACATACCAACAAAACACATGAATACTTTTAGTATACACCTGCTAACGCATATACACACCTCATAGTAGGCACAGAGACAAAGGATGTGAAGATCAAGAATCGTCGTATGAGGAGGATAAAGTTAGCTATTCGAGGCAAGGAAAGAAAGACTAGTTCAATAGAGTTATTGAAAGTAGCCTTTGACTTCGACTATTACACCGACTTTTACTTTGGATAGCGCCTATTCTCTATGAGATTTGGTACAACCCCAGATCTGAGATCATAAGTAAGGCAGAGCAGCATAAAGAGAACGAAGCGATAGAAAGTAGCTTAGCTATGGGAAAGAGTATCAAGCGTAGCGAGTAGCTCACGCTCGGATGCAGCGTCGGAAAGAGAGGATGACAAAGTGAAGTTTTTAAGTCCTAGTTCAATCCGGGAAATAGGCAAAGATAAGCTATCCGGAACGAGTAAAACGGTATATGAGCTAACACCAATGGGGGATAAGCCTGCATTAGCTAAAGCTATGATAAGGGTTTCGATTCTGTGAGAACAAGTTAATCCGGAAATGGATAAGCTGCCTGAGTGAGAAAACCCATGTAAGGAATCGATTTATGAAAGAGGCATGTATGCAGGTAAGATAGTGACTCTTAAGCTCTCCTTACTTTGACTCGGAAGAGTAAGCTTACTTTTCTCCTGGGAGTTCAATTTTAACTCACTCTAACCCACTAGTTCCTTAATAAATATGTCCCTGCGACTCAACTGATAAGGAAAAAAAAGCTATACTGTTTAGTACGATATTTTCCTCCGGGAAAAAAGGAGTGTTAGCGCATCCAGCGAACAAGCGATTTAGCGAGCTAAAAAGCATAAGGCGAAGCGATTAGCAAAGCGAGAATCCGGAAGTTCTTTCGCTACACTTACTTCTAGTAGGAAAAT